ACACAGAAGTTCCACTTCCCAATGCTTCTCTGCTATAAATATTACCGAAAAAAAGTAAGATATCACTTTAACTTTTTTTCCACCTTATAACATAGATTCATAAAAATAAATAAATAAATAAGAGAAGGATGTTGGTAGAAACAATTTTCCTGGTAGTGGTTATCTCTGGATAGAAAGATCACTCTAATTCTTACACTACATGGGTTCACAGGAGCTCAATTTACTATGCCTCATCAAACACATCACATGTATGCAACATGTATGCATTAAGAATGTCCTATAAATAATTCTTTCTTAGGTGGTAATAGCTATAATACCACAATACAAATACTATAATAAACATGATTGTATTTAAGTTCTGATTAGAAGGATATTTATTTTAACCAAAAGCTATAATAACTATAATAGCTATATAATAACTATAATGGCTACAAAATAACTATAATAGTTGAAAGGACTTTATGTAAATCCTTGCTGTCTTATAATACGAGCCATGAAACAAGTGTGACAGCACAAAGAACACCAAACCAGCCAGGTTATTTTGGTTACAGGCAGCCTCAGCAGCCTTCAGGGGCTGAGTCAGATGACCTTTCCTGACAACACATGCACGCCAGGCTGTTGGCAGGAGACAAAGCATCAACAGTGTCCTGAGTGAAGCACTCCCGCCCCTCCTCCTAGATTTTCTATTATAAACTTTTACCTAAAAAAAGAGAAAGGCCGCTTCCCAGAGAAAGCCAGGACAGTGGGTGTACACACAGGAGCTAGCCGGGAAGCTCACAGACAATTGTAAGGTTAACAAGAATTCTCCTGAGAAAGAGCCCCCTTCCAGAGACTGAGCAGCCTGAGTCTGCTCCGTTATTCATTACACATACACAAGGCAACGCCGGGAGTCATTCTAGCTAATTCAGTTCATCGAGAAGGCTTCACCCACTCAAAGGGAGGGAGGGCCAGAAATAACACTGTCTACGCTAAAAAGAGAAGCATCTCTGTGACATGTGTGACAGTAGGTACACCCACTTGTACTTGGTTTTTTTTGTTTGTTTGTTTTTTTCTCAAGTAACTACCCAGTTCCTTAAGAAAGGGAGAAAGATACAAGTCTGCCTGGAGTGCGTCACAGTGTAGAGAGAAGCATACAAATGGCCTGTGGTTTTGAAAACGATATGTGACATTCATATTGGTTTGGCTAAAAACTGACAGTACTTTATACTGAACTACTAGAGTAGACATAAATCACCATGTTTAGGGAATTGTGTGAGGATCATAAGGCTACTGGGTAGAATAAACAAGAGCCCAGGAGGAAGAATGAATGTGTAGAAGTATTGCTCGGGCTAATTGTTTTTTCAAGGCTATCTCCAAGGCTATCTCCAAGGCACTGATTAAAAAAAGCCAACTGTAATCAGAATGACCAAGAACAGGCAAGGATAGAAGGAGAGGTTGAACAAAAGCTCTCAATCTGCTTAAGTATAATAGAAATAAAATATTCTGGGTGCCCAATGTCCTTCCAGACTTTGACCTATGATGAGGATCTGAAGTATTTTATGAAACAAAGGTAAGGACAGAGGCTATGCAATCAATATTTCTGTGGTTCTGTTCTCATTCAGCCTTGCTGTCTAGCCTCGGGTATGTCATTCAACCTCTCTGAGCCTTAAAGTACCCATGTCTAAAATTATAATAATTATAGTTCTTACCTCATAGGACTATTATGAAAAAATTAAGTGCACATAAAGGATCAGCAGGGACTGATACAACTGAGACCATTAATAAATCTTTGATTGATGGTAGCTATCGTTATGGCCAACATGTAGCACCCAGAAGATGATGCAGATAACTAAATAAGTGATCTCTCAAGATTCATTTTAAATACCATCCTCCAGACCAGTTCATAGTCATCCATGTCAGGAGGATTACTATAAAGCAAAGCAGCACACGTTTAGAAGAGAAGGATCATAATATTCTAGAGGCCAATACAGACAACAGAGTGCGTAGGGCATACACAGAACAAGAAGATGGAGGTCCAGCTACATCAGTGGACTCAGAATAATACATAAATCACAATCGTGATTAAGTTCCATATTAGAAAATGGACAACCTATACATCATCAATTCCAAATTATTTTCCATTTTCGACAACAGAATTCTTCTAACTCCAGTCAGCATAGGGTCCTTTCTATGATAAGCATACAGACGTAAAAGTATAACAATCCTATTTGCCTAAATAGCTGTTTCGCTTAAGTCCCTAAACAAGAATAGTATATGGACTTTATTTTAATTCTTTTAACCTACCTCTGTCAAATAATGTTTCCTGCAAAAGCCATAATCTCTCAAAATAAATAAACATGAAATAAATCTCTATACTGATAAACACAGTCATCATTAGCCACAAAAAGTTAGTGAAGCCTTGAACTGTGACGAATATGACTGAGGAACTAAAACTGTATTGCATTTCATTTTAATTCATTTAAACTTTTCAAGTCAAACTTGGCTATTGGCTACCAAAGAGGGCGGCACAGTTACCTGGGAGTTGGTATGCAAAGTACTTAATTGGAAGGGACTCTAACATGTGTCTGGGCCTATCAGGATACATGCTGGGAAAGAGAGAGATTTCTGTGCTGGGACAGGAAGAAGCAGCCTTTCTTTTTTTAACTTTTTTTTTTTGGGGGGGGGGGGTCCGGTCGTGGGGCCTGAACTCTGGGCCTGGGCGCTGTCTCTCAGCTCTTCAGCTCAAGGCTAGTGCTCTACCACTTGAGCCACAGCACCACTTCTGGCTTTTTTCTTTTTGCTTATGTGGTGCTGAGGAATCGAACCCAGGGCCTCATGCATGCAAGGCAAGCGCTTTACCACTGAGCCACCTTCCCAGCCCCATCTTTTTTTTTATTTTTAATAAGTTTTTTTTTATTGTGAAAATACCATACAGAGGGGTTACAATTACATGAGCAAGGTAATGAGTACATTTCTTATCAAGCATTGTTGCCTCCTCCTTTGTTTTTCCCCTACCAGCCCTGTCCTCCCATCTCCATGACTACACTCCCCCCCCTTACCACCAAAGTTCTAAAGTTCATTTTTCAACATAGTGTCTTGTACATGTCATTTTGCAATGGATCCACCTGCATCTCTATTTAAACAACTTGCTTTTTCCCTTCCCCTCCCCAAATTATACCAACATTAAATACAGTGAAAACAGGGGTTATACCATGGGGGAGGGACATACAAAGCAACAAAAAAAATCACCTTATAAATACGTTATAAAATAAATTAATAAATACGTTAGAAACAATAGCAAGAAAGAAAAAAACTACTTGTGTCCTTATCTTGGGGTTCATTTCGATTAACATCATCTTATCTGACATTTTCTGCTTGTCTCGGACATATACTAGTTATTGCAAATAAGGGAAACCATGGGACCTATGTTTCTTTGGGCCTGGCTTACTTCACTTAATATAATTTTTTCCAAGTCTTTCCATTTCCTACCAAATGGGGCAATGTCATTCTTTGTGATGGAGGCATAGAATCCACTGTGTATATCCTTTCTTTTATTTGTAGGCTCAGTTAAAGAATTTTCTCCACTCTTCCATAATAGAGCCTCTTTACTCTAATAGTTGCAATGATTCTTGGACACTTGAGACTTTTCTTTTCTCTCTCTCTCTCAGTAAAAAATAATGTTTGACCCATTGCAACAATGAGACGTAGAAGACACTATGTTGAAAAATGAACTTTACAATTTAGGTGGGGGGGTAGTTGTGAAGGTGGGAGGGAAGGGATGGTAGGAGAAAAACAAAGGAGGAGGCAACAATGCTTGATAAGAAATGTACTCATTACCTTAATCGTGTAACTGTAACCCCTCTGTACAGTATTCTCACAATAAAAAACTTATTAAAAAAATAAGACAGGCTCATCCTAACAGGAAAAAAAGATTTTCATAGAACTTTCTCCCAAAATAAAGCATTCTGTCCTTTGTTCTCAGAGAAGAAATGCTGATATCTCTAGTTTTAGAGAAGTCTGTAAAGTCAATAAGTGTTAAGATATCAATTATTTTAAACTGTCTGACAGCTCTTTCTCCAGTAAGGGTACAGATATAGGCCCTGGAGAGATCATTAAAATGGTTCAATAAATGAAGAGCAGAGATTAGACAGAGAAAGTAAACCACATTGTTTAATTCAGGAAGTATGCAGAAAAAAAAGTATACTGGAAAAAAAAATCACAGGGTGAAAGTACCATATTCCCACCACTATGAGAGTCCCTCTCTTACTTCCCTCCAGAGGAACAGATATTTGATGATATGTGATGATTTCAAGCACACCCCCATGAATCACCATCTTAGGCAGCTACTAGATGAATCAAATGAAACACACACACTACCATCAGATGAAAAACCCAGAAGATATCTCCTCATTTCCAGAACTCAAATTGCGTTCCTATAAGGAACTATTTTATTCAAGCACCAAAGAACTTTTTTTTTGGTTTTTTTTATTATATACATGCTTATCAAAATATTGTATTTTCTATCTTAAGTATATGATAAATATAAAAATTATTTAAATGTCTATCTGAAAAACTTTTCCTGATTGATTATATTTTGTCATTCATGGTAACATGGCTAGAATATCATATGTCTAGTAATTGAACTTAGTTATGGCTATAAGCAAAATTGTTACTCTGAATCTAAATGATTGTGGCATCAGGGCCCAGCTAGCAAACAGGAGGTGAGATTCAGTTTAGTACAATCACTGATTTATACTTTTTTTCTTAAAGAACATTTATAAGATGGCCCACAGTTGGATTCCCCAAAGAAAGCATTCTAGTGAGATCCTAGATGGCCACAAGGCTGCCATTCATTATACCAGTTACTATGTATTTAAATAGAATCCAAAAAGGAAAAAAAAAACCAAGGGTGTCATTGCTTGCCCTCAGTAAACAAACGGGCTGATACATTAAACTAATGACTGAGATCAAATTATTTAAAAAGAAAAAATAAAGAACTCAGCAACAGTCTCTTGTCTTACCTCTACCACAGTGGTCCGCGCAGCTTTGCACATGGGCAAGTTGAAATTCCTTGCGGTTTTCCTGCATCACACACAGGGGAACAAAGGAAGGGAGGAAAGAGGATGAACACTAGGCAGCAGGTTGAATTATGAATTATGAAATAGGTGCCACTGATCAAGATGCATTGTACTCAAAAACCGACGTGTTGGCCAAAGGTGAAGGAATTCAAAGCTCGAGTATCTCACTACATGTGAAAGAAACTAGCATGCTGAGAATCTAGACCACTTGACCACACTGTGCTAAGAGTTCTCATTTCACACAAAAGCTTAACAAACACGAGCACTAGGGCAAGGCTTCCAAGTGCCCCTGAGCAGTCAGGCAATGGAGCACAAGATAAACTCTTAGAAATGTTTTAAATAAGTTAATAATCCATTTCCACTTGCTACTGTATAATTTATCTAAACTTTAAATATATATTATATACTAAATATCAGTATAATATAACTACATTATAGATAGTTATATATATATACAAATATATATACTTTACACCAATATATCAAATAAAGTAGACGTGTGGCAAAATGTCTCTAGTAATTGCAAAAAGTAGTTATACTTTAAAAAAAAATAGCTGAATTCAGTAAGGCACTGGTGAGTCATGCCTATAATCCTAGCTACTCAGGAGGCTGAGATCTGAGGATCGTGGTTCAAAGTCAGCTCAAGCAGGAAAGTTCTCAGGAGACTCTTACCTCTAATTAACCACTCAAAAAACTGGAAGTGGAGCTGTGGCTCAAAGTGGTAGAGCACTAGCCCTGAGCAAAAGAGCTCAGAGACAGCACCCAGGCCCTGAGTCCAAGCCCCACAACCACAAAAAAAGGGGGAGGGGCTGAATTCAAGATATTATAAGATATTATAGCATTACTATCACATAAGTTCTTTAGAAATAAACTATGCAAGGCACAATAGCTCAAGCCTATCATCCTAGCCACTCAGGAGGTAGGGAATCACAGGATGACATTTCAAGGCCAACACAGGCATAAAAGGTCATGAGATTCCATCCCTAAGAATGATTGGGTGTTGTGATGCACACTTGTCAATTCAGCCAAGGAGAAGCACAATGGCTAGGCTCGATGGTATGTTCCTGTCAACATCAGCAATACAAGAAAGCACTAGGCATAAAGTAAGATTCTACCTCAAAAACACCAAAGTTCAAAGGGGCTGGAGGAATGGCTCAAGTGGTAAAGCACATGCCTAGAAAATGTAAGGCCCGGATTTCAATCTTCAGTACTACACAGAAAAATAAAAAGAATCATGAGTGCCAATGAGAATCTAACTATGAGAAATGATATGAGTTCTGTAACCTAAGAGCACAAATATGTACCTCTTAGTCTAAAAACAGTGTGCTTTACCAGAGGTGACATAATTTTCAAAGAACACCCAACTATTCTGGACACTAAGTGTTTAGAAACCAATATGCTTGGGGTAATCAGGTGTTCAAAATAAATTAAGCCTGTGGCTACCCAGATAACTAGGAAAAAGTTGCACCATTCTTCAGGACAATCAACTTTTCAGATAGAAACTTTACAAAGATATCAAAAGGACCAGGAAAGAATTTACTTAAATTATTACTAGCAATATTTTTCTAGAATATTAAAGCAATTTTGACACATTAAGATGCCGGGTGCTAGTGGTTTGCACCTCTAATCCTAGCTACTCAGGAGGCCAAGATCTGAGGGTAGCAATTCAAAGCCAATAAGGCAGGAAAGTCTGTGATACTCTTATCTCCAATTAACCACCAGAAACTGGAAGTGATACTGTAGCTCAAAGTGGTGGAGCACTAGCCTTGAGCAAAAAGAGCTTAGAGGCAGTGACTAGTCCCTGAGTTCAAGACCCACGGACAAAAAAAAAAAAAATGAAAAAAGATAACATATAAATAGCAATTTCAAAAATTAACATCACATATCAACATACTTTCTAAGATAAAACCTAGCCATGACTACTAAAACACACAGGGGAAAAATAGTAAGTATACCTAACTATGTATGAGAGAACATAAATCCAATATTTCACATGCAATGCAACATAAACCTCAACAAATCACAAGGGACCTTCACAAGTCTATCATACCAGTTAGACTACAGAAAGGCAGAATTACGCCCACAATCATATGTACATATGCAAATATGATCATAGGCTATTGCTGAAATGAATGTATAAATAACAAACTCACTATGATGTTCCTTTTTATCTTAATTTAGGAAATACAGATTGCTGACATATAACACACAACACACACACACATATACTTTTTTAATATCACAATACCTGAAAATTATATTCCCAGCTCGGTCTGCTTTCCAGGCTTTCACCAAAGCAAAATCTCCTGTAATGGCTTCCTCCAAAATAAACTGCTGCCCTTTAAACTCCCTTACCTAAAGGAGACAACAAAGCCACCATCAGATATTTTTGTATAGGTGTGATTGTGATATGCACGCTCAGAGTCAGTCTCTTAAGGGAGATGAATCCCAACAGAGACTTCTTAAGAGGCATTAGGCAACTTAGACTTTGTCAAAATGATCAAAGGAGAGATTACAAGTAAAAAATGTGCAGAGGCCCACATGTGTTGGAGAAAATAAAATTCTACAAGCCTAAGGGACAGAACAGACTTTGTTAATATTCAGGTTATTTTTGTGTGTGTATGTAAGTTACATTTAAAGGGTAGAAAATCATCTTTTTCTTTCTACCCCCAAAAAAACAAACCTATGTAAATTACAAGATATGGTCTATGATTTTGTACATGAAAGTAGTTATAAAAAGATCTATTATCCTCATTCTCCTGTGGTCTTTAATTACCTATTCAGATTCTGATCTGAGAATTAGCAAATTGATTTGAAGAGGACTGACATACAGTATCTTCCTACTCACAAGCCTAATATATTCCCCTTTTATTGAAGTTTTCATTTACCTCTTTTAATATTTTTATCATTTTCTCTACAAAAGCTTTATTTATTTTTCTTAGGTTTTAGTCATGTGTACTTCATTCTTCCTTTCCTTCTAAGAAGGTTGTATTTTATTTTATTACATCTCTGCCTCTGTCATTACTAATCTAATGTAATGCTGATTTTTTTCTGTTTATTGCCTTTTAATTAGACTTTGAACGTTGGGGGAGAATATAAAGCAAAACTCGATCTTAGCATATGTTCCTCTTTTTATTTTGGGGGATTTGTCTCTGTGAATTAAGGAAAGAAGAGTTAAGCAATCACCATGGATGCATAGGATGCTCAGTAGAGGTTCAACTCCAATCATGTTCCCACTGCACCATCTAGTGGAAAGAGACTGCATGCACCTTAGAGAAGGCTTGGATAGACAGTTGGGTACATTTGCTTTTGTTGTTTTTGATGAGGATCAAACCCAGGGCCTTGTGTGTATAGGCAAGCACCCTACCACTGAACTTTTTAAACCCTGTATTGAAACATAAATTGGTGCTTAAATAATATCTTAGTTAAAGACAGTATCCCATTTTCTATATAGAAAATTGAATTTAGGAAATCATTAATCAATTTTGATTTTATTTAATATTAACCTATATGGAAGGTATTCATAAGCTATATAATAATACACAGTTACTTATTTTAAAATAGTTGATAGACTTGAAGATTCATCACTCTAAATATTGGTGTCAATAGCTAAATGTTTTCTATACAGACCTAGAAAATGGAAGTAAATACTTTCTAGCATATGACATAGAATTTGCGTTTTCTTTCTTTTTTTGTTTGTTTGTTTGTTTTTTGCAGATCTTGGGGCTTGAACTTAGGGTCTGAGCATTTTCCTTGAGCTTCTTTTGCTCAAGGCTAGCGCTCTACCACTTGCACTTCAGTGCTACTTCCAGATTATTCTGAGCAGTTTATTGGAGATGAGAAGACTCTCACGGACTTTCCTGCCCACGCTGGCTTGGAACTGTGATCCTCAGATCTCAGCCTCCTTGAGTTTTTTTTTTAATATTCCAATTACACAAGTTCTTGGTATCTACACACTCACTGGTGCTGACTCTATTACTTACTCTAAACTCTAAGAAGGGGAAGAAACAAGTTTTGTCCAACTAGTGTTATATATACATTCACTTGAAGTGCACAGCTGTACACTTCAGTGTCTACTTCTTCATCTTTAGGTTCTTGTTGAATCTATTCTGATCACATTTTCATTCCTTTCATTCTAGAGGGGAAAAAAAAGACTAAGGTTGCCAGTGACCTCCACTTCTGAAAATCTATTGGTCAATTCTGATCTTTGTATTACTCAGCCTCCTCACACTCTAACTCAGCTGAGCCTCCCTCAACATGTACCTTATCTTTCAGTCACCTGTCTCCCCTCATCTTCACTTACTAGTATTCCTCTCCCACCCAGTTTTCTTTGCTGTTTATCCTCCTCTCCCTGACCATTAAGCATCAAAGAGGTGCTGGCCATCTGCACAGGTGCTGGCCATCTGCACATAGACCCAAGCCACCCATCTCACCCCGTTGCCACCAGGGTTCTTATCCCAGCCCCAAATTCTCCCCTGACCTGACGCCTGCCAAACACCTCTGAATGTCTGGATGTCTCAAATGATAGACAGAGCTCTTTGATTGCCACATGGGTTTCTTATCACAGAAAGCAGCATGCTTGATTCTTCTTTTACACATCACAACCAATCCACCAGCAAATCTTCTTGTGGCTCCACCATCTCCATTTATAGTCCAACTGCTTCATCCTAATTTCTCTTTATCACCTTATTCAAACAAGACACCTCCCCCCTCTATCCCACTTCTGCTCTTGGCCTCCTACAGAACAACAACAAAAGCATAAAACTTGCCACTCCTTAATCCAGAGCCTGTAGGCTCAGTCCAGTAATCCTAGCTATTCAGGAGGCTGAGATCTGAGGGTCATGGTTTAAAGTAGCCCAGACAGGAAAGTCTATGAGACTCATCTCCAATAAACTACCAAAAAGCCAGAAGTGGAGCTGTGGCTCAAGCGGTAGAGTGCTAGCCTTGAGTAAAAGAAGCTCAGGGGCAGCACCTAGGCCTTGAGTTCAAGCCCCATGACTGGCAAACAAAAACAAAAACAAAAAAATCCTCACCAACCATCTAACTTAGAGCACACCACACTCCCATCCCCATCCACAGTTCTCCATCGGTGAGCTGCAAGCTCTTTGTGGATCTGGCTCCTGTTCTACCTCCATGCCCACCACTCTCTGCCTCATGGGCTCCACCCTCTGGTCCCACAAGCAGGGTAGTAAGCCTACAGCCCCCTCAAGACCTTGAACTTCCTCTTCTTTCCAATCAAAACAGGATTGGCTCATCTCCACCTGCCTCATTCTCATTTCACTCAGGTCTCCACCAAATGTGTCCTGGCAAAAGCTTTCATTTGCCACTAAATCTGGATCCTCATCTCCCTGGCCACCAATGACTCTCTTTGTCTATAAACTCCCTGGATTTTCTTCACAGCAATTCCAGTATCTACAATGTGTGTCCTTTTGTTATCAACTCCTCCACTAGCAAGCAGACTTGCTCTAGCAGGGGTTGGGAACGTCAGGCCCACCTGCCATGTAAGGCCAGCAAAGTCATCTTGAATATGACAGACAGATACATATGCTTCTCCTACAGCCCTCATCCACTACCTGAAACCCACCTGCCTGTATTGATTGTTTTGTGTGGGCCACAAATGATGTTATAAATTTCCAGAAGGTTCCCCATCCCTGGCAGACAATGTGTATTTCCACAGTGCTTAGAAAAGTACGGGGAAAAGAACAGGACCTCAATAAACATTACAAAATAAAGAAATTCACTTTCTCTTCTAACCACAAGCCACTGAAATAAAGAACTAGTGAGAATTATTTCAAGAAATAATTTGTTATATTCCCTGGGGTTATAACAGTATTACAAAGATACTAAATTCATGCATCTGGCTCTGGTCAGAAATGAACCTACGAGTCTTTGTGACTCCTTTGATCTGTTGTGTTGTTGTTGTTGTTGTTCATTTTTCCAGGATAAGCTAATGTAATCATTTCTAATAAGCTATCAAAGTGTTAATCTAGTTATCCTGGACACTTATATCATGGTCTATTATAAAGATTGATATTTTTTTCTTAGTTTAGGTTCCTGGTTTTTGTTTTTGTTTTTTTACTCTAACAAGAAATCTTTTTAACCTAATTAAAGCAGCAAGGGGGAAAGCTTGAATGTGAAAATGTTAAGGAAGACTTTGAATCAATATAGGTCACTCTCAGCAGAAAGACAAAGATCCAGATGGAGAGTGTGACTGGGCAAACACTGAACAGTGAAGGATGCATTCAATGACTCGTCTTTCCCTAGAACAAAGGGACAGAACCAGCATCCTTACACACGCAAAAATGGTACTTCACTAACTTCCCTATAGGTATAAGCGCAGCATCTCTGCAAGGATCACTCTGTTGACCCATCTGGACAAAGGGAAAGGAAAAGTGTTTAAAAACATAGTGAAGAAATATTGGTCTGAGTCATTTTAAAAATATTTCAAATTTGAATATCTCAGTAACTATAGCTATAGGCCCACTGATCTTGACCAGGTAAGTTGCCTACTAAAGATATTTGACCTTAAACATTCTAAGTAAATCTGTTAACCAAATGAAAAGATCATGTCCCAAAACATAAGCTATAAAGGTCATAATGCAAAGTCTTTTTTATTCCATTATATGATTATAACTGTCTCATTATATGAGTATAACTGTCTCTTTCAAGATTTCAGACAAACTTTCCTTTATTTTGGATTTATTTTTCCCCCACTTCAGTCACAGTAGGACGGATCTGGACATAAAAGTTGAATACCCTAAGTATCAAACAATTCTATTTTCCACAGAAGCATAATCAAAATCAAAAATGTTCACGTATTTAAAAACACCTTCCATAACATCAGTGAGCTAATCTTGACTAGTATATTAATTACATAGGAATGACAATCCTTTTTCTTTTTACTGGCAAATACCCAAATTTAGCTAAAACTCTCACTTCACATAATTATGAAAATGGAGGAATGGCTTTTCTTATCAAGATAATTTCCCCTAGTAGTGTAGGTCTACCCAAACACTCACAGAAAGAGAGTTGTCCCAGTGTTGTGTGGTGCAATGATTCTTACCTCTCGTGGCTGACTGGCAATAGCAATGGTGCCATCGGTGTTGTACTTGATGGGGGCTCCTCCTTCTTGTACCAGGGTCCCATACCCTGTGCTGGTGTAAAATGCAGGAACTCCAGCCCCTCCTGCACGAATCCTCTCTGCAAGTGTGCCCTACAAATGAGAAATCAACACTCCATACAAAGTTCATCATATGCAGCTCCGTCTGGGGACATAAAAGCTGCTAGCCATGGATCCCATTCCTGAGAGACTCATAGTTGTAAAAGTTACCTACCAGTGTATGCTTTCCTAGGGAGTCAAATTTATAAAAGTTTCTGCCACACTGGACAATAATCATTGCTTTCTTAATCCTCATTCAAAATTTAATCACTTATTTACCTATCCATGCTTCCAACATCCAGACTCAGACCCAACTTCCTCTTGATAATCACATTATAAAAATGGCTAATGCTTCTGAATCAAATTGCAAATCTAAGCTCTGTAACTGTAGCTGTATATCATTAAATGTTGTGTTTTACTGTGTGCCATGCATAAGTGCATGTCATTGGTAAAAACAAGTCAGTGAGGCATGGAGATATCTCACAGTTGGGAGACTGAGACAGAAGGATGGAGCACTCAGGCCTACAAGACCCTTTCCAGAAAAGCAAAAATACCAAACGGAACAAAAAAAATCAACAATATAAAGAGTTCAATTTTATTTTAGAATGTATGTTACGTCATTTTACAAGTGTTTTTACTAAATTATTTAAGCAAGGCGAAAAATCTAAAGACAAAAAAAATAAGACACTCAGGTAAATGGGCTTGTTTTTGTTTTTTGTTCTTTTAATAATATTTTGTTTTATTATAAAGGTGATATACAGAGGAGTTACACTTACATACATTAAGGTAATGAGTACATTTCTGGTCGAGCCTTGTTACCCCCTTCCCCGTTTTCTCCCACTTTCCCTCCAGTTCTTCAAATTTTATTGTACAGCAGATATAGCTGCAAATAAAGTTTCTTTGTGGCTACTTTTGGAACAACTTTTCTATGGATGACCCTTCCCAGTCCTAGGTATTCAAACTTACCTTCCTAGGTCTCTTTTTACCCCCAACTGACTAGGAAGCCCAGGTTTCCTGTGGGCAAAACTCCTTGAATCCATCTTGAAGACCTGGAGAACACTGACAGCTATTGTTGGGGTCTTGCTACTAGATGACTGATTGGCTGACCAATCACTAGTCAGAACTAACACAGTCTCTTCACATTGCCAGAAACTAAGAACTATTCTCTCTATTAATGAGGGCTTTTAAATACTTAAAGAAGAGACAGTTAGTTGGAATGTCCCACTGTATCATTTGTATTGGAGGATACATGCGATAGGAGGGTATTTCAAGCACAACTGTAAATCTTCCAGATAACTGATTCTCTACTCTTTGGTCTGCAGAGATGACTCTAATTGTGTTTCATTTTAAGTTAAGAACACTGAAAATATTGTCATTAAAACAGCCATGGACTGGAGGTGTGGCTCAACTGAGCTACAGCCATGAGCAAAAATGTTGTATACATGGGTCTTGAGTTCAAGCCCTCATCCCAACATACATACACACACACACATACACACACAAACCAACAATGCTCCCTTCTTTAAAATGCTTTTTATGTATATCCTCCCTGAGGGACTCACCCTCTGTCCAATTTGGTAAAAGCCTGAAAGAAAACTGTTCATAAAGATGGGCCCTGTACTGGTACCACCAAGCCCTCATTCTTACTCCTTGCATAAGTGCTAATCCCTACCCCCTCATCAACGCGTCACAAGCTTCAGACTCACTGTTCATTTGTGGGCCACTGAGTTCCAGGAAGTTGAGAGCAATCTCTTTTAGATTAAAAAAATGTAATAGAAATATTCTTAAAGTTCCTTTCCTGTGTATATAACCTCTGTAGATAATAAGAATAATAAGACTGCTGAATAAAAGATACCAAAGGTAACTGAAAACCAGGTACCAGTGGCTCATACCTGTAACCCTAGCTACTCAGGAGGCTGAGATCTGAGGATCATAATTCAAAGCCAGTATCTCCAATAAACTGCTCAAAAAAAAAAAAAAAAGAAGAGAAAAGAAAAGAAAAAACCAAGGGGAAGTGGTACTGTGGCTCAAATGGTAGACCACTAGGCTTTAGCAAAAGAAGCTCAAGGACAGCACCCAGGCACTGAAATCAAGCCCAGGACTACCAAAAAAAAAAAAAAAAGTAACTGGAAGGTTAATCTTCAACAGCTTAACACCCAAAAGCTTGCGTTCTCTTTATTTCCCACCAGTGTCTCTGCCCACCAGTAAACTGAGCTGGCTGAAACTCTGATCTCAAGACTTCCCAGACCCCTCAACTGTGACAAATAAATCCTGTTGTTGTCAGAACACTGTGACATTTTGTTATAATCTAAGCAGACCAGTGTGTTTTCACAAAACTTCAAATGAAAATTTGAGTGAGGATCAAACATAGCTCAAATGCTATGCAAAACACAGGCGACAATGCCATAGGATGACCAGGTTGTATCTATGATACTGAGGCCTTAGTTAGAAAGAACAGTCTTTATACCTGCTCTCTAGACCAGAATAAATCTGATTTGATGATGATTTCTTTTAACAAAATTCTGCTACATCATGTTTAACCAACTTGGTCAAGTCAAGGAGACAGTATTTTCAAGTAGAGTGACAGGCTTAACTTTAGAGACAAAGGCAGAACTCATCCAAATGAAAGATCACCACAATGACCTTGTAGACCAATGCTTTACCCAACTGGCTCCAAAAAGTCTGCTTTCCTCTATAAGAAATCCTTCAACCAGTAAGGAGATGGTAAATAAATTACACTAAGTCTTTGCAGCTCTAGCATTTTCTCTGAGATACAAAGAGATTCACTCATATATTCCTAAATTTCTCAGAAATTTCTATTTCTGTGATTTTTAAAAGTAATTTTTGGGACAACCCCGAGCACTTCAGCTTTCTTCTAACATAATTATATCAGCAGCTCAGATAACTTCACTAGAAATATCTCCTTTTTCAGCGTAGAGTGGGAAGAAAATATTCATCCTCTAGTAATTAGTAGGTTTGACTTATAAACAAGATCCCTTGGCTTGGCAAAATAATATCCCTTCTATCTTGCATAAAAAATAAATAAATAAATAAGGAGCCAGGAGCCAGTGGCTCACGCCTGTAATCCTAGCTACTCAGGAGGCTAAGATCTGAGGACTACAGTTCAAAGCCAGCCCCAGCAGGAAAATCCATGGGACTCTTATCTCCAATTAACCACAAGAAAACCAGAAGTGGTGCTGTGGCTCAAGTAGTAGAGCGCTTGCCTTGAGCTGAAGAGCTCAAGGACAATGCTCAGGCTCAGAGTTCAAGACCTACAACTGAAAAAAAAAAAAAAAAAGAAAAGAAAAATTAAGGGTGGGAGGGGTAGGAATAAATTTCTCAGTAATCTAATACTATGAAAGAAAAGTAGGAAATTTCCTCACCTGAGGTATCAGCTCTACTTCTAATTCACCAGATAAATATTGCCGTTCAAATTCTGCATTTTCTCCCACATACGAAGAGATCATACGTTTTATCTGCTTAGAGTGAAGTAAAAGGCCCAGGCCAAAGTTGTCAACCCTAGATGGAAAATAAAAGTAATTCACAACATAAGACCATCTGACATATATTTTTTAAAAGATGAAATTGTATTAATTTGGAGGAAACGAAATCCTCCTTGTTAAAGCATTTAATCAACATTCTCCATTCCTTGCCACCCAAAAAAAAGCTGGAAAGGTGGCTATTTTTTCTTGTTTTATAACTGAGGAAGCTAAGGCTAAAAAAGTTTAATTGATTTCTTACCATCGCAAGCAATAAAGAACATGGCTAATATTCAAATCCACATCCATCCTATAACTCTACTACACATTTGTTCATGTAACTTAATTTGTGTTGCTTAATTTAATCGTACTGTTTTCTTCAACATGGCTTTGACTTAACATGTCAGTTTATATGTACAATGCATCTTGATTAGGATCACTGCTTCCACTATCCTCCTATTCTCTTTTACTTATCAAGTTTTCACATACGTACATTGTTGTGGCTGTTTTCCATCTACTTCACTAGCAAGAAGATTATAGGTAAAAGAGTAATCTGTATCTGCTAAATTCCATATTCCTTCAATTAATCTCCTTTATAACTTTGAAGTTGGGAGTTCAAGTATGGTTGGTTATTTCTTTTAATTAGGAAGTTTTTTCTTTATTTTTATCATCAAAAAAATTACACCTATAATTTCAAGGAAAGTGAATGAGACTAAACAAATTAATATTTGACAATTCCTAATTTTTTTAGCCACTTTATCCCTCTACTCCCAAAAGTTTCAGAAACAGGTTTAACAATTACAGAAACATTTCTGATATAACAAAGAATACTTGTCCTTAAGCTATCAAGGTATTTTTAAGCATGAAATGTTTTAATGATGCAAACATCAATGAGCTATCACTACAAACATGAAAGGATAGTTAAATTTAAATAAATAAATAAATAAATAAAATACTAAGTGTTGGCTAGGAGGTGAAACATCAGAACAGATGAGTATAAGGGAAGTTGATATATCCACTAGGGAAAAAGTATTAGCGGTCTCTATAAAAGCTGCACATATTCATATGCTATGAGTCAGGAGTTCCACTCTCTGTTCTATACCCAAAAGGAATGCACACTTAAGTTTATCAACAGGCACATACCAGATACTGTTTATTACAGCCAAAACTGAAGCCTGCCAAATGCCCTTCCACAATAAAAAAAAAGTCTCAGGTCTTTTTTTTTCTGGTTTGTTTTACACAAATTCAACACGATACACCAATAATGATAAACTATGTCCAACCACTAGATGAATCTCAAAAAAAATGTTAATCAAAAGTAGGCCGGGCACCAGTGGCTCTTGCCTAATCCTGACTACTCAAGAGGCTGAGATCTGAGACAGCTCAAAGGCAGCTGGGTCAGGAAAGCTAATGAAACCCTTATTTTCAAAGTAACTATCCAAGAAGCCAGAAGTGGAGCTCTGGTTCTCATGACAAAGCACTAGCCTTAAGAAAAGACACAGAAAGACACAGGAACCGAGGGAAACAGGAGAAAACATACAGCAGTGGGAACTAAGCAACTCAAGAGCAGCCATGGGAGGGAGGGAATGAGAGGAAAAGAGGGAACAGCTGACACTGAGCAAAAGGAAAGAAAGGATGTGGAAGAAATAACCGTATTGCCAAAGCTCATAGAATTCACAAACTTCATAGACCATGATAAAGACAATTTGCCCCATGGGGAGAAAAAAACTATCACTAACCTTTGCATACAAATGTTTCTTTGATGAGTGTACAGCTCATAATACCATCCCTGTAATTTGGTTATTTCACGTAAGTTTCTACTAGCTGCATAGGCTCATAATGGTTTGTTTTGCTTTTTGTTTGTTTGGTTAGTTAATCTTTTGGCCCTTCTATTGACCTTGGTATTCTTTTATATCATTGAGTTACAGAAATAAAACTGTTATTTATTGGCTAGACTCATGGTTAGTTTTATTTAAAATTTGTTTTTATTAAAATCTAGACTAAAAAAGGAAAAGAAGCTTAAGATAGCACTCAGGCCCTGAGTTAAAAAGCCCAATACAGGCACAAAATAAAAAAAAAAAATTAAGAAGGTATGATGCAAGCTAAGACACTGGTAGCTCATACCTATAATCTCAGGAGGCTGAGACCTGAGGATCGTGGCTCAAAAACCAATCTGGACAGGAAAGTCTGTGAGACTCTTATTTCCAACTAATCACTAAAAAGCCAGAAATAGAGCACAAGAGGTAGAGCACCAGCCTTGAGCTGTTCAGGGACAGCACCCAGGTCCTGAGTTCAAGCCCCAGGACTGGCGCGCACACACACACAAAGTATACAAAAGAATACCTACTGAGTTATCCTTTTTATATGAACTTCAAAATCAGAAAAAAAACTAGTATATAAGGTCAGAAGTAAGGATATCAAAGGACCTTGGTGGTGGCAGGAAAACACAGCGACTGGAAGGAACATTAAAGGCTGTCTAAAGAACTAGCCAAATTCTGTTTCTTCATCTGAGTGTTGGTTACAGGGGTGGGATGTTTCTAAAACTCCATTTATGTATCTATGATATATAGGTTCACTCTTCCATATACAACTCTTCCCTATGCTTCAACAGTTGTTTTTTAAGACAGAAGTATAAACATACAGTCAGAACAGTTTTTATAAACAGGTCTTTATTCACTTTTCCTCTCAATTCCTTCAGTGTTCTCTGATGGTTCCTCCCCTGTGAAGCTCTGTTTTACATAATTAATTCCTCTATCAGACCCTCACTGAGTGCTTACTAGGTCTCAGGGCTAGGATATCAGACTCAGGAGCTATCACCATGAATCAGGCCTGTTCCTGTACCCTGAAAGTAGATAAATAGAACGAATAGATCAATAGAATAAGTATAGAAGAAAAAATTTTACCTCAAGGCTATAATGGTATCAGAGGAAAGATGTGCTTAGAGAAGTCTTCAGGCCCTGTAGTAAGAGCAGTGAAGATCAAAAATCTCAACTGCTAGTAGAGAAAGAAAGCCCAAAAATCCTTCAGAAAGTGGCACTGAAATGTATGGAAGAAAGAAAACCACACTATCAGCACAGGGGATGGAGGAGCTGACGGTGTTAAGGTCCCTCTGGCAAGATGTTCAGGAAGCTCCAAGCCTAGTGTGACTGAGCTTTGGAGTAGAGGCAGAAGCAGCAGGATGGGTGGAAGGGGACCAGGTTGTGATCTGTCTCAAAGGACTTCATCCTAAAGGACATAAAGACACTGAGAATAATTTTTTTTGGCCTAAGGCTGGAACTTGAACTGGGTACCTGATGCTTTGCTCATTAGCTAACACTCTTACCAACTGAGCTACACATTCAATACCTCCTGTAGATAATTTTAAGCAGAAATGTAGTAGCTTACACAATTAATTGAAGAGCTTCAGCAATAAAAGGCAGGGAGACCAGTCAAGAGGTTCCAAATAGTCCAAGCAAGCAATTATGGGCAACTGTAGCAAAGAGACACTTAAGGAAAATGATTTACTCATAAGGCTTGCTGACCATCCTGGCATAGACACCCACTTCAGAATTCTGGTTCTGGCAAAGGAGAGCTGTGAGAAATTAATCTAATGTTCATTAGAGAGAATCTATTTGTTTGACCAGAAAAAAAGTGTTTAAGTATGACAACTTGTGTGAGAAACCACTGACACTTCTTTTAACCAGCCACTTTTTCTCTACCTTCTACCTTCAGTTCATTCCAGCTCACATGGCTTCTTCTTAATTCTTAGGTTGTATTACATCCAAGCCTCCTTCTTCTCCAGGCAGTCCAACACCATACCTCAAAATGTTTGAGTAAAAGGTATACTGTTAACTTTCCATTAAAATTGTTTTATATTGCCGGGCTAGCTCAGTTGGTAGAACATGAGACTCTTATACAAACCTATCATTCAAATATTGATAATACCTTTTCCAAACTTACTATGTGTATAAAAAGATCTGCATTAGCCGGGCACTGGTGGCTCACAACTGTAATCCTAGCTACTCAGGAGGCTGAGATCTGAGGATCGTGGTTCAAAGCCAGTTTGGCCAGGAAAGTCTATGAGACACTTATCTCCAATAAACCACTCAGAAAACCAGAAATGATGCAGTGGATCAAGTGGTAGAGCACTAGCCTTGAGCTGAAGAGCTGAGGGACACTGTTCAGGCCTAGAATTCAAGCCCCATGACCAACAACAACAACAAAGATCTGTATTTAGCGTGGCATCATGAGTGGAATTAGTGTCCTTATACAAAAGACCCAAAGAGAAGGAAGGGGTGACATTGTCCAAAAAGAAATGTACTCTTTACCTGACTTATGTAACTGTTCATCACTTTTATAATAACAACTTTAAAAATTAAAGATCTATTTTATTTGATTTATTCTTATTGGTTTCAAAAAGAAAACTAGAGTCTAACAAATATTTTCAAAAAAGGTACCATGGAGATATACAAATTCCCTGCAGATTAATAATATGCTTTTCCACTAGAGGTCTCCAGATCCCTAAAACTTCTACATTTTACCAGTCCAACCTCTCTCTTATATTCGCTCATTCACACAGTACTTTCAAGCTTCTTTATCCCCTGCCCCCCCCCACACACATCACATAGTCCTAATGTCTGGTTTGGACCCTAATTGGGTACCAAACTTAGCCTTTCCCATATCCTTCTTCCATCTTACTTGAGGGCTGCCTTATTCTTAACAATGTTCAATACAATGCTAATGAAGCGATCTTTAAGTTCTCTCTTACTGGCCCCATCAAATCAACTGGGAAGTGTTGCCTCTACCTCCAAAATCTATCCAGAATCAAACAACTTCTCATTCCCGCCTCTGTCCCTAAGACCATGTGTTGTCTGGATGCTGCAATAACTTTTGCTGTTTCAGCTCCTGCTTACTACAATCCACTAATAACCCAGCAGCCAAAGCAAGTACTGTAAAATAAAAGTCAAACAGCTTTATTCAAAGTCCTGACATCATGCTCGCTATTCAGTTATAACAAAGGTGTTGAGAGAAGCCTGCAAGGCCGATCAGATCCCTTTTTCTGTCTCCAGTCTCACTCTTCCTAGTCTTTTTTTTTTTTTTTTTGGTCAGTCATGGGGCCTGGGTGCTGTCTCTCAGCTCTTCAGCTCAAGGCTTGCGCTCTACCACTTGAGCCACAGTGCCACTTCCAGCCTTTTCCATTTATGTGGTGCTGAGGAATTGAACCAAGGGCCTCATGCATATGAGACAAGCATTCTATCACTGAGCCACCTTCCCAGCCCCTATTCTCCTTTCTGCTTGCTTTTCTACATCTGCCAGTATAAAGAAAATGTCTGGATTGAAGTTCTTATGGGTATCTTTCATAAAAGTCGCAGCAAATTGAATACCCTTCTGACTAAAGCATACTTCCAAATATTGGTAATAGCTCTTAGCCTTAATCTGTTCCATCTTAAGGCTAGTGCTGATAATGCTGGTATGTTCTTAATTCTAGAGTTCTTTACTACTCATTCTGCTTTCCCTCAACCCTCATCAATCAATACTTTAAAATAAATGCCTTTAAGCTGAGCTCCGGTGGCTCATGCCTGTAATCCTAGCTACTCAGGAGGCTGAGATCTGAGGATCAAGGGTCAAAACCAGCCCTCATCTCCAACAAACCACTCAGAAAACTGGAAATGGAACATTGGCTCAAGTGGTAGAGCGCTCACCTTGAGCTGAAGAGCTGAGGGACAGTATTCAAGCCCAGAACTCAATCCCCACAACCAACAAAAATAAAATAAAATAAATACATTCCTTTAGTAAATGCTTCAATTAATGAGAACACTGATGTTGGATACTGATATTATACAAAACCCCAGCTGATAAAATAATCCATGAAAGAGGATTTCTACAGTTTTAAATATCTGAAACCTCCATCAAGCCTAAAGAACCCCTCTAGAAACCAGAGGGTGGTTAGTCAATCACTAACCTGGCAATTTTTTGAACTACTCTTTCATATCTATTTGTCTTCTCAAAACATTACACATTTGAACTTAGCTCTGTCTAAAATGACCATTCTCTATTTGTTGATCTTGGCTCTAAAGAATATTATACATTCAGCCTTTGCCTAGGTTTAAACTAATATTCTAACATAACAAATAACAGAAGATAAAACGTTCAGCCCAGACTATGACTGGACCAGATTTTTAAAAAGTTAATCATTATGTCTTGAAAACACTATTTGATTGTCAGATGTGGGAGGCTCATGCCTTTAATCCCAGCTACACAGGAGGCTGAGATCCAATAGCTAATTTATGCCAATAGATCTTACTGATTATTAAAAGCAAACAAGACTTCTGTGATGACACACACTTGTAATCCCAATATTTGGAATTGTAATCCCAATTTGTAATCCCAAAATGTAGATGAATTCTAGCCAATCTGGGACAGACCACAAGACCTTGTATCAAGATCTGAAAATGCTAACAGAAAACCAGGACCTCTGAGCCTCTTGAACTAGATCTAATTTCTAATAAGGAAATAATTACTACTTCCCACTTACCCAAAATTGAAGCCGTGTCAGTGGTTCTCCAATAAAGCATGACTAAATTTCCCTAATATCTTATTCCAGTGGCCAAAACATCCTCATTCTTATAGATCTCTAGGATTTAAACCTTAATTAAGAGAACCAACCACCAATAGAGGTTTACAAAGGGTTACCACTGTATTCAAGTCTGTATCTAAACCTGTGTACTGACAGCATATCACTCAGTGGTACTATACGGTTTTATTAACTAGTGATGTTGGAGGTGTCTTAGTTTGGGTAAATATACCCTAAGATTTCCACACAATGATAAAAGCACCTAACAATGTATTTCTCATAACATATCCCCCTTAAACTACTCATGTCAGAAGCATCTCTTTTAAGTACCAGAGTAATGAAGCCAAGAGAGAGAGAGAGAGATAGAGAGATAGATAGATACATACATACATACATACAAAGACAGATACATAGATAGATATGGGCATGGAGCATGCTTAAACAATGCCAAGTAACATAAATAAGTTACTGTTCCATTTACAGAAGAGTCTCTGGGAGACACAAAAGAATTCAGCAAATGATCACTACAACATGGCTGCCACCACTGACTCAGAGACTAGGCATAGCAGAGAGTACACAGCAACCGTCAGTAACTGATCAACATATAAACCTATGGAATAAATGCAGTTCAGTATACAAAGAAAGGTTGAAAACCTAGAGAAGAACGCAGAAGTGGCAGCATCAGGTAAGACTCTCTCATGAAACAGCATGAACACCCAGAAAAGGAACAAGAAGCACGTCTGTAGTATCTGTTTTGTTTCTTAAATAATCTGCACTATTTATTCTCAATTGCCTTTTATTATAAAAGATAAATTGTCAGACTGGTTCTTTTAAAAAGCACTTTATGACACTGTACAAAAGGAAATGTACTCATTACCTGACTCATGTAATGGTAATCCCTCTGTGCATTACCTCTATAATAACAATAAAGTATATTTTTTAAAAAGCACTTTAAGTTTTTATAGTCTTTCTTTCATTGTTCAAAGGAAACTGATGATTTACTATTTTGTTAACAAACAGCTTTTTCTAAATAGCAAAATGTACCTAAACATGCCTTCACTAAAATAATAGATTAATATTGGCCATTTTTTACAGTCCTATTGTCTTAAGTGCTTGCTAAATATACTCCTATATCAAGATCAGCATCATCTTTTATGATTAACTAATTACTTTAGATAGTATCTTGAGTAATGTTATAACCAAAAGACAGAAGTTGAAGCAGATTTCAAATTACTGACTGCCTTGCCTTACAATGAACTTCATATCAAAGAAGATAAAGGACCATGCTTACATTTCAAAATGCAACAGTCTTTTAGAAAATATTTACTCTAACTATAAAAATATAATCTAAATTTATAAAAACAAAAGGATCAGCTAAAGATATGGTCTTAATTTATATATTTAACTAAGATAAGGCAAGTATGTTTTACTTAAGTTTAAGAAGGATGGTACCTATTAAGATGCTTGGACACACTGCTCATGTAAATGGAGGAAATTTTAATTTCACCGGTAAATCTTTTTAATATTATTATTAGGAACTGACATTTCTTTTGATACACTTTTTAAAAAATTCACTCTTACCCTGCATTGTTGCTGACTGCAGTGATTTCTTTGACTCCCGTCTTTAGTAAAGCTCCTATAAGATTCTCAGGAATTCCACATAGCCCAAAACCTGTGAAGTCCAAAAGGTAAATAATTTGTAAGGAAATGTGTGCTATTATCCCTAATTGAAAAGAAAAATATGAAGCATGCCTTTAGATGTAATACAGAAGTAGCAGAAATAGCTCAGTAACTCAATAAATAGTCAAATAATGCCGGGCACCAGTGGCACACGCCTGTAATCCTAACTACTCAGGAGGCTGAAATCTGAGGATTGCGGTTCAAAGCCGGCCTGGGCAAGAAAGTCTGTGAAACTCTGATCTCCAATAAACCACGAGAAAACCAGAAATGGCACTGTAGCTCAAGTGGTAGAGCGTTAGCCTTGAGCTGAAGAGCTGAGGGACAGCACTCAGGCCCAGAGTTCAAAAAAAAAAAGTCAAATAACCAGATTCAAACACAATTACCAAGTCTCTGAATCATAAGTAAAATGACAGGTGTAACCAGTTTACATACTATCTCTATTGCCCCACTTTATAATTCAACCCTGAAGCAGTTACTTTTACTCAAGCATGTTGGCTTAACTTGCCTGGGTACATTTTACAGAACTGAAAGCCTTAATCCAATAACTTCCTTTGTATCTTCCATGATTCCTCAAATAGTGTTGGGTTTAAAATGGTCTTTCACAGACTTACCAGTTGGCTAGATAGAAGGAGATCAGTCCTAAGATAAGCTTTGCTGCAATTTGTAAGAATAAGAAGCAAGTTAAAAAAGAAGACAGAAGGTCTAAAAGACATCCCAAACAAGAAGAAACAACTGAGGATAAACATGTGGAGACAGGCATGGGTTTCTCAACACCAGACAGACATTGCCAGATGTGGGTTTCAACACCAGACAGATGCTGCCATGTCCTCCATCTCAACAAATACAGAGAAATAAAAGGAATGACTAGGGTAAACTGATGAGAACTACGCATATGTTCCAAGGAAAACAGGAATTCCCAAAGATCTAGAGATTCCTCCAAGCTCCTGATAATATATCATTTCTTACAAACTAGTTGGGGAGGGGACACAAAACTGGAGGAAAAATAAAATATGGGTAGTAAAATTTGTTAAACATTTGGAATAGAACACTGTCATGAAATAGTACATATTACAATGTGCATGAATAGGGAATAAATAATAAAGAAGTAATAAGGTAATTGGTACTTCCAATCTATACAGCTTTTTTGTTGGTGGTGGTGGTTGTGGGGTTTGAACTCAGGGACTGAGCACTGTCCCTAAGCTCTTTTGCTCAAGGCTCTACCACTTGAGCCACAACACTGCTTCCCATTTTCTGGTAGTTAATTGGAGGTAAGAGTCTCACAGACATTTCTGCCTAGGCTCACTTCAAACCACATCCTCAGACCCAAGCCTCCTGAATAGCTAGGATTACAGGAGTGAGCCACCAGTGCTCAGCTTCTATTTTTTTTTTTTTTGGTCCAGTCGTGGGGCCTGAACTCTGGGCCTGAGCGCTGTCCCTCAGCTCTTCAGCTCAAGGCTGGTGCTCTACCACTTGAGCCACAGCACCACTTCTGGCTTTTTTCTTTTTGCTTATGTGGTGCTGAGGAATCAAACCCAGGGCCTCAGGCATACAAGGCAAGCGCTCTACCACTGAGCCACCTTCCCAGCCCGTGCTCAGCTTCTATATAGCTTTATCCCTGTGGTTTTCCAGCTTCACTGAATACCTAAATGACATTATCATCCAAAGGTAAAAGATACCAATAACACATTACTCACCACCAACTAGCACTGTTGCGCCACTGGGAATATCTTTTACCGCTTCAATTGGATCTTCATAAAATTTGGTATGGTGACGAGTACTGACCGAAAAGTAGCAGGCACACCCCTGAAACATTAAAAATACTTTTCAGCCAGGCATATGTAGATTCACCTTTAAATATAAAGCAATTTATTCCATTTCTATAGGATCAATGGTAAGTTCACTATCCTTTTCTATTAATTACTATTAATTTACAATTAAAATGCATATGGTTACAGAATACAATATACATACGTACACACACACATACATACATATATATCACAAAAAGACTAAATTGAAGCCAAGTTCTGATGGCTCACACCTATAATCTTAGCTACACAGAAATCTGAGATCTTGGAGGGTTGTGGTTCAAAGCCAATCTGGGTAGAAAAGTACATAAGTCTTCATCTAAAATGAACAAGCAAAAAGCCAGCCTAGACACATAACTTAAATGGTAGAGTACAGATATAAAGAAGCAATTCAAAAAAGAACATGAAGCACTGAGTTCAAATCCCAGAACTGGGGGAAAAAAAAGGAGTAAATTAAGTTATTTAATACACCACTACTTCATGTATCCTTTAAGGTTTTTGTTTGTTGGGGTTTTGTTTTCCTTGTTTGTTTGATTGGTTGGCTGGTTGGTTGGTTTTAAGACAGGATTTCATTATATAGCTCAGATTGAAACTTCTAAGCTTCTTACCTCAGCCTCCCCAGTGCTGGAATTATGGCATGTGCCACATACCTAGTTCACATATCACTCTCTGGTGGTAAAAATACCCCCATAACAGTTTTCAAGAATACAATCTATTTTTCTTAACAAGAGTCACCATGAAGTACAATAGATCTTTTCAACTTATTCCTCCTGTATAGCTGAAAGTTTGTTCTTTGACAATCAATCTTCCAGCCTCTGGGAATTAACATTTTATTCTTTACTTGCATGAAACTAACTCCTCTTGAAAAGTGTGGGACTCTAATGGTTTGTCCTTAAAAGAATGCAAGGGCACACCCTGCCCACAGATTATCACCAAAATCCCCTGTGATCTGTCTCTTCCATGGCATAGGGGAAAGCTTCAGTTGTGTCAGCTGTGGTTACCCAAAATAACAAAAGTAGGGGGTCCATGTACTGGGTATAAAATTGTAATATTGCTGTCGTCAACCATCAACTTCTGATAGCACCTTAGACTTCCACTTGAGCAACCAATATTTATTAAGAAGTTGTATGTGTCAAGTTCTGAGCTGTTTAATCCAACATAGTATTACAACTGCCGCTCTCCAGGAAATTAGGAACCATATGATTAATACTGCAAACACCTACGAAGCAGAGCTTCTCATCCAGCCTCAGGTATGAGAGGAACTTGTAAAAGGATAAGTAAAGAACAGCACACATAATGACTCATCTCTCTCTGAGGCTAGTTTAAGGATGCTGGAGTCAAGGAGTAAACTATTAACTTTCCAGGAATGTGGGTTATTCTTACCACAATGAACTATTTGGTCATTCTATGATGTGGAGATGGTTTGCCACATCCAAACCCTGGGTTGAAATAGGTTCTCCATTGTAACAGTGCTGAAAAGTGGCAGGGCCTTTAAGAGATATTTGGGCCCACATGAAGGGCTTAATGCTGCTCTGCAGACCTGAGTTACTTCTTACAGGAGTGAGTTCTTGCTCTCACAAGACTGGATTAGTGATTGTCCAGAGTGGATCCCTATAGAGTAAGTCTGCTCTCTCTGCTTTGCCTCTTTTACCATCTCCTTGCCCTTCTTCTGCTAACATGTTTCAATGGAGCACACGTCATGGAGCACTCATCAGACGCAACAATCAGAACTTGGATTTCCAGCTTTCAGAACTATGAGCTAAACTAATCTCTTCCCTTTAGATATTACCTAGCCTGAAACATTTTGTTATAGCAACGGAAAACAGAGTATAATAGGTTCCAAATGAGTCATACTTTGAACATGAATAACTTGTTATAAATCATTTCCCCCTACAATCCACCCACAATATGGACATGAAAAAAAAATGAGAAGACATATTGTATGGTATCCATCCATTCCTACTCAACATTATCTCTCCCTTTATTCTCATTACCTGTTCAACCTGAAAAGAGAGGGAGTAAAAAAGAATAACATTTGAGTCGTGACATACTAACACACTACTATCTCACCAATCCCAGCTATAAAATTATACATACTTCCCTTCCTAACAGCCCTCCTGACAGACACAACATAGTGTTTATTGTTCTTTTATGCCTCTATAAACTTTTCATCAGAAAGTGCCAACAGATATAAAAGATTATGAGAGCTATGAGAAAAGTGAATGAAAGATTATAAGGTAGAAATTACACACATACTTTTTGCCTTTTAAGTATCTATTTTGGTCAAGGTCAAATAAGGAAGCACAGTGCCCCATACCAGGTACATGAGTAGAGGCAGAGAGAAAGAAGGGGCCTGAGACACGAAGAACCTTCTTTCCTTTCCTCCAGCAGCAATGGTCGAGTTTTAAACACACACACACATACTTTTAAATTTAGAAGTTTGACAGAAGAAACAGGCCGTCAGTAGATTATAAAGTAATAAAGGTGTGCATATCTCCTAGAAAAGAAAAAAGTACATCGATATCTGATTCAAACTGATTCATTGCACAGGTCATCTTTCTAAAGCTTAGAAATCTGCTTTTTTAACTTACACAAAACTATTAAAGCAAGATCAAACTCAAGGTCCTACTGCCACAGTAAATTCCTTTCCATGTTTACTTAATGCTGTATTGTATTCTACTTCCCCTTTATTATTTATATGCAACAAATCTTTATCAGTGTCCTATGTTTTTCCGTAAGTAACTCTGCAGCTGCTATGTCCAATATAAGTGAAGTGGACAGGCCTTAGTAGGAAGAAAAGAATGCATCCACACCCAGATAGTCTGGGAAGCAAGGTCACCTTGAACATTTTCTCTATAGACTGAGAAATATGAATTCCATAGATAGTAAGTTGGGGAGAAAACACATGTCCTTCAAGAACCCAGAGAGGTTTTCAGACTCATGAACAAAAATAAAAGCACAAAGGGCTGTTTGCTGCTGCTAAGAAGTAAACAAATGATCAGACCTTACTGGGCAGCTTGTCCTATTCTTGAGAAGAGAGGAACCCATCAGAGTATTTTTAAAAAGATCATAAATTGGACTAGCAAATTCAAGGGGTTGGAAGTGAGACATACATTTATCCAGATAACCAAAGTAGTACCATGCTTGCAGGACCGTAAGATTTCAAGGTAATGAAGAACCTCACAGGCATTCCATTTTTTTTTTCATTATCCATGCATTCAGTTAGCAGTATGTATTGGCATTAACACTTGATTTTTACAAGATGGTGACAACAGTCTCCCAAGATTATAATTAGACTAAATTATATACAAAACCTCTGTGCCTGTACTATATAAAATATTCAGGGAATGTTTGCTTCCTTGTGGGAATACCGCCCTTTCTCTATTCCCCACTATGATCAACTTGTCATTTACTGCGGTTTAATTTTAACTTTTAACTTCACCACTCTGTCCTGTACACATAGATCACTGATTTCACTGTTACACAAAATAGTTAAATACTGTAACTCACACTATGACAAACTAATCCAAGTAGCTTTTGTTGAGTTAAAAAAATAGTCTTAGCTTTATGATTAATTAACAAATGGTGGGGGTGGGGGGAGTTGAAGTGGGACTTGGGTTTTTTAGTTCTTCGACAGGGTCTTAGCTTGAGTCCTAGGCTCAAGTGATTCTCCTGCTCAGCCTCCCAGGTGGCTGAGATTAACGGTGTAAATCACTTCATCCAGCAATATGTCCTTTTTTTTTTTTGCAATCAAGATTGCCAGTCTAGATATTTAGGCTGCTGGGCAAGCCAGCACTGGGAGCACAGGCAGTGGGGCAAAGAGGACATAGGATGCTTGCAGCTAGTTGCACCACAGAAGATTTCCCAAGCCCACAGCCTAGAAAGCGGCTTAGGATATGGAAGGCAGCTCAGTAGAGGAAGCTTGGCCGTTTGCTCTCTTAACCTGCCTTGCCCCTGTTCCCATTCTCCACCCTCAGTGTCTGACACTGTCTATAATTGGGGAATTGTGGAAAATTGTCTTTCTGGGATGACCCAGTTTAAACAGCTTTGAGGTGTTACAAAATGAAGCTTTAACTTCTAAAATACTTTACATACTAGCATTTAAAAAAAAAAAACAAGTGTACAAGCTGCTACCAAAGCAAGTAAATAAATAAATAACCGTTAGGCTCGGAGAAGAATGAGGAATAAGAAATATAACATTCTAATGTCTAGTTATTCTGGAAATAATTTTTTTCACCTAGGTCTTCCCTTATATTCACATAAAGTATTGCATTTTGGTTTTTTACGCTGATGTTTCTAGTCTTCTTTGATTTGCTGTGATTCTGGATCTTTACTTACGAAGTTTTGACCTGTGCCAAGGAGTCTTAGTGTCTCCCCTTATCCCTTTTCAGGGTTTCTGGCCTTACATTGAGGTCTTTGATCCGTTTGGAGTTGATTCTGGTGCAGGGTATTATACAAGGATCTAACTTGCTTTATGCACATGCATAACCACTTCTGCCAGCATCATTTGTTAAAGAGGCTGTCTTTCTTCCATCCTGTGTTTTTGATTCCCTTATCAAAATTAGGTGGCTATAAGTCTGTGGGTTGATTTCTAAGGTCTTCTATTCTATTCCATTGGTCCTCAAGCCTGTTCTTGTGCCAGAACCAAGCTGTTAATACTTTGGCTTTGTAACAGAGTTTGAAGCTTGGTATTGATACTCCTCTAGCACTGTTCTTCCTGCTAAGGACTGTTAAGGGTTTTGTTTGTTTGTTTTGTCAGTTATGGGGCTTGAACTCAGGGCCTGGACACGGTCCCTGAGTTCCCTTTTTTCTCAAGGCTAGCTATCACTCTACCACTTTGAGCTACAGCACCACTTCTGGCTTTTTCTGTTTATGTGGTACTGAGAAATCGAACCCAGGGCCTCATGCATGTAGACAAGCGCTCTATACCACTAAGCCACATTCCCAGCCCCAAAGGATTGTTTTTTACTCCCCACAACTCCATTCCATTGTTGGTAATTCTTCTTGTTATTACCATGGAGGGGGAAATATAATTGAGTACTTAAGGGAATTAAAAAACTCAAAATTCAGATAATACAATTTGTTTCCACTTGGTCTATTCCTCCCCCGCCCCCCCCCCACCCCCAAATCCCCACTCCAGTAGGTCATGAGGCTTGAACTCTGGGCCTGGTCACTGTTCCTCTGCTCTTCAGCTCAAGGCAAGCACTCTACCACTTGAGTCACAGCATCATTTCTGGTTTTCTGGTGGTTAATTAGAGACAAGAGTTTCCTGCCTGGGCTGGCTTTGAACCACAATCCCCAGATCTCAGCCTTCTTGAGTAGCTGGGATTACAGGCATGAACCACAGTGCCCATCTTTTTTTCCTCCTTTTAGTACCTTCTACACCTTCACTCTTGATCCTTTACATGAAATTCTTACATCTAATTCTTAACCTATGGTGACCCTACATTTCATTTCCTAGCTTCCAGGGAAATGCACTTGCCTATCATTTAAATTTTTTCACATATTTTTAAAATAATTATCTCACTTCTCACTTAATCCTTGATTATACTTAGCAGAAAAAAAAATGGCCTAGATTATTAATTAAGTTGCCTGAAGGGTTCTCTCCTCCCTGGGTTCAATGTGTTCCATATCTATTCTTAGAGGCATAGTGTGTAACACTGAAGGACAAAGAGAAAATGGTCTCAAAGTTAAACAAGCATTGCAAGTGTTGCAGGTCAAAGAGGAGGTGAGGATTTAGGTTCCATGCCATGGGGAGGGGGCACTGCAGTAACAGGTGCTAGGCCTATGATGTCACATAGGTGACAAAGGCCCAGAGTTGAACTCTATGTGAACTTTTAATGAGGTCCAGCAAAAGCTATAATTATAGCTCATCCACCTGGAAGAGATTTCCTGACTTGAGAAATGGTTTAATGATTATATTCAGGGTGGGAATGCCTAGGGTAAGTACATTATACTGAGCAAACCAGTAAGTGACAATATGAATGACCTTACCTCAAGGTCATCCTGTGTCCCAGTTTTTACTTTGGCTTCTGCACCTGTACCAGCCAGGGTGAAGGTCAAGCTCTTTCTTAATAATAATGTTTAATATCTCCAAAGCTATCTGCTATTATCAAAAAGCTCTCTAAGGGGAATTTAAGAATGAAATGATCCCACTCTGAATCATTCCCTACCTCTTGCAGAAGAAGCCTTTCCAAGTTCTAAACTGTATGAAACTGGAGGCGGGGGGGAGGGGGAGAGGAACGAAGGTTTCAGAAAGGCTGATTGTATTGTGGGCACACATTGTGCCCAAGGCATGACTTCAAGCTCAAAGCTATTTCAATACACTACCAAAGAAAATGCTTGCTTCCCTTGTTCTAGGGAAGGTCTTTTGAGGTCATCTCAGATACCTCCTCAACCTGACCTTGTAGTACTCCAGTCCTAGGACTCTAGACAGGAAATCCCATTTAAACTCGGGCTTACAGGCAGGGACCATTCATAAGACAAACTCACACATCAGTCCACTGGCAGAGCGACAGCAGCGGGTCGGAAAGTACAGACCGAACAAAACTGTCAGCGTCCCTACCCTCTAGCCGGGATGTGAGAAGCCTGGAGGAGAAGGGACGTCTGCAAATGCAGACAAGCTAGTTGAGACTGCGCGCCAGACTGCCAGACCTCCACGCGCTCCAGGCCGGGTTCCCCTTCCCACCGCCACGGTGCGGCAGAGCCATGTAGGGAAGGAGAGGATGGGGAGAGGCATTTGGCCCCCGGGGCGCACAGCATCCACCCACTTGGCTGTGAACTTGTGCCAGCCCCGGCTAACGCGGCTCCGGGTTCTGGGGCCTCCAGAGGCCCCATGTGAGGCAGAGATCTGAGGGCGCCTCCCTACCATTTCCCCTTCTTGAACCCGCGGCTCCCCTCGCCCGGTGGCTGTCCGCGCGGCGCGGGCGCGTGCCCAGGGGGCGCCCCAGGCGCGCGTGCCCCGAAAGGCGCTGCCAGTCGTCCCCAGGCCTCTCCACCCAGTCTCGCCCCGTCAGGGAAACGGATGCAAAACCAAGAAAAGCCGCCATCGGATGCAAAACCAAGAAAAGCCGCCATCGGAGGCACGGGGCGGGAGGCGGTGGGGGGAGCCAGAAACCCAAAGGCTCCTTCGTGGTGCCCAGGGCAACCGCGCCCGCCGCAGATGCCAGTTCCGGGGCAGGAGAGAGGGTGTCGATGGGTAGAGGAGGGAAGGCGGGCGCGGGGCAGCGTTCGCATCCGCGTCTCTGCCGCGCGTGGCCGGCCCCTTCACCCGGCTCGTTACCTTGGACCAGACGCTCGGGGAGCTGCGGATGGAGCCGCAGAGCCTTGGCGCAGAGGAGAGCAGTTTGAGAGCGGCCATCTTCGGCACCGGGGGCGCAATGGGGCGGCGGTTTGGGGCGCGCGCGCTGGAGTGTGCAAGGGCTGGGTTGTCGGGGGCCGCCGCGGCGTCACCGGGGAAGGAGGGCCGAGAAGAAGAGGCGAGGCGTGCCGGGGGCGGGCTGGAGGCTCGACCGCGCGCCCGTGACGTCCTCGGGGCCTGGGCGCGGTGCCGCCCCTTGCCGGCAGCGAGGAGGCAGCCGGGTGAAGCCGAGCGGGAGGAGCCCACGCCTGGGGCGGGGGGTGCCAGCGCGCGCTCTGCACAGCCCACGGGGGTGCGGGGAAGATCCCCGGGGCTCTGCGTGTCCCCGGCAGCTGTATGCCTCTGTATTCATCTGCTGCCACAAGTCCCTCCAACAGCATTTTAACTTTGAGGAGTCTCCAGCGCCCCTTCATTTGCCTATATCCGAGATGTGCACTGGTTTATGTTTGGGGCTCTAAGGGCCACGGAGGGTCTGGGGTGGAACTATTGCTTTAGCAGGTCACCGCCTGGCAGATGTATGGGTGAGATGCCAAAGGATACCCCTAAAAGCCCTCTCCCAACCTGGATAGCCCCATTTCTAACATTTCCCATTCCTGGCCGTGGCTTGCATAGTTTGCCTTGAGAAGCTGACACAGGCTATCAGTCATGAGACACCACCAGCCAGCTTGCAGAAGGACAAGATTAGAACTGGGAAGTTGGTGCTGGTCATCCAAGCCTGTGTGTTCCAGAATCTTTCTGACACAGGAATCCCTGAGATTACACAGCAGATGCAAACATAGATGTGTGTGCCCCTTTGACTTTAGTCAGGTTATATAACTCTCCTCAATTTAGGTGTCCCCAGATGCAAATTAGGGTTACGTGTAACACTCTGACTCAGGTTTGTATGAGAGAACTCATGCAAAGCTTTGGGAACATTCAGAGCACACAGTAAATGTTAAGCACTATTGTAAATCTATTCCAATTGCAGGGGTAAATTGGCATGACCTAGATGTGTTCTCTAAGCATTATCTTTTTGATGTTTTGTTCTTTTTGTTTCAGTTGTGTGCTTGCTTGTTTAGTTTGTTTAGTGGTAGTGGTGATTTTTGTTGTTGGGTTTGTTAGCTTGTGGGGCTTTTGTTGTTTGATTGAATCCAGGCTGTCCTAGGAAAATTCCCATTCTCCTGCCTCTAGTGCTAAGATTACAGATATGAATCCTCCTGAGTTTTAGGATTACAGATATTAATCTATGAACCACATTCAGTTCAAGTTTTTCTTGGAGAGAAAGGGGCTTTGTGCCAGTACTAGATCTCAGGGGCTCACATTCTGGTTTGGCTTTTTCACTCAAGGCTGGTTTTCTATCAGTTGAGTCACACTTCTACTTCCAGATTTTTGATGGTTGATTAAAGAATCTCCTGGACTTTTCTGCCGAGGCTGGCTTTGAACCAAGATCCTCAGATCTCAGCCTCCCCCTGCATAGCTAGGATTAGAAATGTAAAGTGCCCCATTAAAGTTTTATTTTTTGACTAGCAACTTGAAGACTTGCCAGCCAAGTCGAATTTCTTGAGGACATTCTAGACACTTAGCTTAGTGGAAAGACCAGGTAGAAGTTCAGTAAACATTTATTGGATTAAAAACTTACCAAGTACTGCTAATATGACTGCTGATTTTGAGCCAATAAAAATACCAGAAAATTCAATGAAAACAGAACTTCCTTACAAAGTACATCTAGACAGCTAAAGATGAACAGTCCAGTTTAAAGTCTGTCCACTAAAACATTTTTCTTGTATTTTTTTTTAGCTCTAAACCTTTTGTTCCCTGTGAATATTATAACTAACCAAAATCAGTGAGGGAATAAATGCCATATTAAACTATCTGCTTCCATATGGGGAATGTTAACTCAGCAATTTTGGGTATCCTAACACATTTTCAATCAGTTGGCTTGAGAGGAAGTTCAAGTACTATAACCAAGGTCCTTTAACTAGTCCTTTTATAGTATATGGTAGCTGATGCATTACTGTTTACAGAATGTGACCTTACATTCCTAACTGGGGCTGCTTCTCTACTTTTTCCCTTCCACAGTCATGTGAAATGGAAAAAGCACTGGCAACTTTGTCTCTAGTCTTATGACCCATTGTTCCAGGCTAGGCTCACCCTGTTGATCCTGGCTGAGGAAGACTCATATTTTAAATCTTATATTCTGTGCAAGGAAGCCTCCTGAAGAGGAAAATAGCAGCCTCATTGCTGAATGGCTAAAACACAGGGAACTGTGTTTATGATGATTCCATGGCTTAATGTTACACTTTCTGAATAATATATGATTATCTTGAACAAGTAGGAAAACTATTTTGCAAGAAATGGTTTTTTAGTTCCACAAAAGCCATTTTAATTTTAATTTGTGAAAAGTCTTGTATTAAATTTCTGACTAGTAGGAACAATTCTCCTTAACTTTGAAAGGAAATGTGTGGCAAATATACCATAGTCTGGAAACTTCCCTTTGTGGACTCTTACACAGCTTGACTTTTACACTGCTGAAAGCAGACAGAATTAAACTTGAAGCCTTTAAACAAAGTTATGATTATAGACAGGTAATAAGGAAATAAGGAAAGTTTATTTTGTATTACCTTGTAGTGTATGTGTGTGTGCATGCATGTATGTGTGCACGCATGTATGTGTGCAAGCATACTATCTTTTCTTTAAATGAAAGCAGATCGTGTGTCAGAGTTAGATTATAATCATTTTCCACTTGAGAAATTTCATTCAAATTCCCCTAAAATGATGCATTAACATCGCTCATGACAGAAAAACAGGACATTCTTCCCTGATAATTAACTCCTCCAGATTGCTACTCAGATCATCTCAAGACTTGTTTTTCAAATGTTGTCTGACTGGCTTAACTAGTAATAGGAGTTTTTAATCTAGGTGCTTTAAGTCAATTATGAAAAGACATAAATGCTTCATTTTAAACAAAAGTTCTTTTGTAAATGGAAAACAAATTCTAGGGTCTGGTTCTGTGGCTTCTGCCTCTAACCCCAGTTATGCAAGAGACATAGGTAGAAGGACCAATGCCTGAGGTTAGCCTGGGCAAAAACGGGAGACCCTAGCAGGAAAAATAACCTAATGCAAAAAGGATTGGAAACGTGACTCAGATAATAGAGTGCCATTGATCAAGTGTGAGGCCCTGAGGAGTTCAATCCCTAGTCATTTCCTTTGTCTTTCTCCCCCTCCCCTCATCTCATTTTAATCCTGATCTATATATGTTCTGGATTTTTATATCATAAATTTGCACACTTTCAGAATCAAGTGCTGCAAGCAAAATGGTAGACAAAAGCAAGGACTCTGTAGCTAGACTGACTGAATTCAAATCTCAGCTCTACTATTCCCTATCTGTGTGGCACCAAAGTACAATAGCTTGCTACGAGCTCCAACCAGTATCTTTTTGTACTATTATGGGGTTAGAAGACTATACCTTGAGCAGTAGACAGGTGAAAAGATTATGTTTGTCAATGTGTTTATCTTTTGCATGCTGTTTTGTTTTTTTTTTACTCTGAGGGTTTAAATTCAGGTCCTTAAAATAAGGCTCTACCACTTAAGCCATGACCTGTCCTTTATACTTTTTATTCTTTATTCTCTATGCTATTTTTCAGATAAGGTCTCCTGCTTTTCATCTCAAATCCAGCCTCTGAGCATGGTTTCTCTACCATGTCTCCTGCATGGCTGGAATCTGCCCTACCATGCCCAGCTTAGTTGTTTTTGCTTTTCGTTTAATTGTGATCTCAAGTACTTTTTGCCCAGACTGGCCACGAACTGTGATCTTCTTAATCTCTGCCTCCTAAAAAGCTAGGATTGCAAGCATGAGCCATTGTGCTTCAGTCTCTGTCCATTTTTGCAGCTATAACATTATTTATTAGACTGAATAACATAAAAGCCAAAAATTATTTTTCACAATTCTGGAGACTAGAAAGCCTAAGATGTAGACACTAACAGACTTGAATTTGGGGGGGAAGGAGGGGATGTGTGCAGGTACTGGGGCTTGAAGTAAGTGCCTTTCAATTCACCTGGCTTTCTTGCTCAAAAAACACAGTCTACCACTCAAACCCCACCTCCAAATTCAGCTTCTGTGCTCATTAGTTGGAGATAATAGCCTCAGGAACTTTTCTGATCTGGCTGGCCTCGAATCACAATCCTCAATCTCAGCCTCTTAAATTGCTGGGATTACAGGTATAGCTCATCAACACCTGGAAAATATTCTATATTTCTACTTACCAGACCGAAACTTAATATATATACTTAAAACAGATAGTGTCAACCGATCACAGGCTGCCAACTGATCAGACCATTTTCCTATCAGGCAAAAGACTCACCAAGCCCTGTCCCCCAAAAGTGCTGAACTGCAATCTAGCAAGCTATTTCAAGCTTCCTCTTCCTGTTGATAATCACTGTCTGCACATGCTCCTTGGTGGAGCTCTCTGAACCATTACTGGTTCAGGGGTACTGTCTGATGTGTGTATCATTACTCAAGGTATTTTGAAATCTGGTCTCACTAATTCTGCACTATTGCAGGGCCTTGATTTCAGTTTCTCCTGTTTGAATGATTGCAGTTTCTTCCTAAATGAAACCTCAAATTTAACCATTCTTATAATTATCATTTTTAATACAGCTTATATTCTTATATCCTTTCCTAAAACACTTCAAGAAATCTTTATTAGTCACAAGTGAAATGGAGACAAGAGGTAGATAAATTCTCTCAGGCCTTAATCTATGAAACCCACTTTTTGCCCTGACCTTCCCTTGTCAATAATGAATGAAGTGTGTCTTTCTCCTACTCTCTTGCTCTTTTTTAAATAAGTTTTTTATTGTGAAAAGACTGTTCAGAGGGGTTACAGTTACATGAGCAAGGTAATGAGTACATTTCTTATCAAGCATTGTTGCCTCCTCCTTTGTTTTCCCCTACCATCCCTTCCCTCCCACCTCCTCAACTACACCCCCACCACCCCACTCCCCCCACCACCTCCCCACACCACCACCACCACCCCACCTAAATTGTAAAGTTCATTTTTCAACATAGTGTCCTGTACATCTCATTGTTGCAATGGGTCGACCTGTATTCCTATT